TCGGTCCTCAAACGTCGTCATATGGCAACAGAGGACACTTGTTCGCTATGTGGGGCGACTGATACATGGAAACATGCCCTCATTTCATGTCCGATGGCAGCAAGTGTTTGGGCTTTGGCACCGGATGAGTTGGTCCAGCATATGGTTGAGCGCGAGGAGGCTGGTCCAAAGGAGTGGATGTTTGCACTACATGAAATATTGACGAATGACCTTTTCAATCGCCTGGTGGTGACACTCTGGGCACTTTGGTATGCGAGGCATAAAGCAATTCACGAGAATATACTTCAGGCACCATACTCTGTCAACAGCTTCATATCAAAATATTTGGATGAACTACGAGTTACCCAGCAGAGGCATCCTTCCTTGACCCCTTCTACCAGCGCCCGTCCAGCGTGGTGGCATGCACCGCCATCAGGTTACTCGAAGTTTAACGTCGATGCAGCGGTAACCAGAAACGGTGGGACAGTGGGGGTGATTTGTAGAGAAGAAAGAGGTATGTTTATGTGAGCCTCGACTCTTTCTTTTAGATATATTGTGGATCCCCCGACTTTGGAAGCACTTGCTATTAGAGAGGCACTTGCATTGGCTGATGATCTCTATCTGAGGCGCATCCACGTGGCATCGGACTGCAAAATGATGGTGCAGGACATACACAAGGAGAATTTGACAAGCTACAGAGCAGTCATTCATGAGATAGTTGAACATTCTTTAGCTTTTGATTTCTGTAATTTCAGTCATGAGTTTAGGAGCTCAAATTTTGAAGCTCACAACTTAGCGAAGCATGCTTTATCTTTCGGTGATGGCCGCCATGTTTGGTTAGGTCATCCCGGGAATCTACCATCCGTCCATGTAAACATTGTGACGACTTAATAAAAGCTTCGTGAGGTTGCCTAAAAAAAAATTTAATCCATAGACATCTCCTTCTCTCCTCTGTGGCCTGTTTTGCGCATCGGTGAGCCACTTCATTGGCTTCCCTATGTACAAAAGTAAGCTCACATTTAATAAAACCTCCCATTAGCTCTTTGATCTCATGGCAAACGGCAGCAAAGGCCGACCTCTCTGAAAAAGCAGAGTTGCACATTGTCACCATCTCCTTAGCATCACTCTCTATACAGATCATGGTGTGACCCAGATCTTTTGCTATTTGAAATCCATCCCGGATGGCCAATAATTCCATCATTTGATCACTGGATGCAAAACGATACCATTGAGCATGAGCTCTTATAAGCATGCCATTCACGTCTCTGATCACTAGACCTGTGCTACCTCCACCGGTATAATCAAAGAACGCGGCATCAACATTGATCTTAAGGTTCCCCTATCTGGAGGTACCCATTGAAATGTCTTCAACTTTGCCGGAGATTTAACTTCTTTGCGTATGGTTGCTAGACCAATAGCATTATCCAGTGCCCAACGAACAGAAGCTTGCACTGATCTTTCCTTCTTCCCATGGGTCCTATCATTTCTCTCCGACCAAACTGCCCAGCAACCACAAAGGACATTACATGTGAATTGATCAGAGCCTAGCTTACCTTCAATCAAGTCTGATGCCCAAGTTTGCGGGTGTAGCTCTGGAATTTTAATGTGCGCGAACTCTTTCATTTCTTTCCAGACGAGCCTTGCCCACGTACACTGAAATAGAGCATGGATGATAGTCTCCTCCTTCCCACACAATTCACAAAAAGGCAATTTCTCTATGTGCCTTTTCAACAGAACAAACCTACAGGGAACAAATTCCTTTATGACTCGCCACCAGAAATTCTTTACTTTAGGTGGTACAGCTATTTTCCACAACTTTTTCGAGAAAGAACTTCCAGCAGCTACTGACGTAGATGGAGCGTCTGACTGTCGCACCCAATTGCTTAGCGTTTTATAGGCCGAACAAACAATGAAATTGCCATGTTCCGTCAGGTTTTTCTTGAGTACTCCCGTGGGTTTATCAGGCCACCTCTTATTTTGACTAAATTTTGATCATATATTTAATTAATAAAATGTTAAATTATGTGATACAAAAATCATGTCATTTAAAACTTTTTTCAAATACAAATCCAACATTATACCTTTTGCAATATACTCCCTCCGCTTTTCTTTTGTTTGCGCCTAAGAGGAATCTTGGATAGCTACATGAGTAAAATTTTGGACTACTTTGCCCCTGACTTAGCATGCACTGCATGGAGGAGTATAAATGTTGTATGCTGTTCATTCCCACGCCTTCTAATGCCTTGTGGCTGCTAATTGGTTGCCGTTTCTTTTCTCCTCATTTATATGGACCCTGGTAAATGCCGCACGTGTGGCACGAACACAGGACAACTCCGAACGTTTTTTATGTCAAATTTAGTGACGCGAGAATGACAATTTTAGTTGTCAAGTATGGCAACTTTCTTTTAAGTTTCAGTTTTTTTGAGGGGTTTGTTTTTCTTTTTGTATGGCAACTTCAGTTGTAAAAAAACGTCTTCATGCCACACATGTGGCATTTGTTATTTGGGTTTTATATTCTGGTGCTCAAATAAATGGTCAAAGTTTGACCCAAAATCAAGTGGGTCCTTAATAAACCCGAACGAAGCTAGTATACGTCGGTGACGACATGCGCACATGCACAATTCTAGGACTAGCGAGACGTTCAGCGAATCAGTGGGGCGATCTACTGGAACCCAGCAGTGCTATGCAGACGACGGATTCGTGCACGACTCAGAGACGACAAGCACCTAGACCATTGGATTGCCTCATTTCCTTGATCTGTGTGGCTTCTAATCATGTCGTGCGCAAATTGTTCGTCAACAGATCGTGTGTGCAGCAGTTTCGACTGGAACCAACAACCCATGCAAACGTTGGTACTACTCCTAGCTTGCAAAGGGATCTTATATTATGGGATGGAGAGAGTACAACCCAGTCG